TGCAAAGTAATTGACAATAGGTTAAGATTAAGTTATCTTATACAATATTGCACTGGTGAGGCAAAATCTTGCATAGAAGATTGTGTGTTATTGGATTGAAATGTAGCGTATAACCGAGCTAAATCCATTTTGCAATCTCGTTATGGTAGGCCATATGTTGTTGCGAGAAGTCATATTGATAAATTGTTGCTTGGCCCTAATATTAATGCATCTGATGTTAAAGGATTGTCTCAATTAGCTTTAGATATGCAAAAATGTCAAATGACACTTTCACAACAAGGGGTTTGTTTCTGACGTAGATAACTCTGAGAATTTAAGGTGCATTGTAAGAGTTCTCCCTATGCATTTGAGATCCAGATGGGCAGAGGTAGCCCATTCAATTTTTGAGTCAGGGAGAGAAACTAATTTCTTTGAATTGACCAAATTTATTGATGTGATGAAAGGTCACGTGTTGCTAGTTCAGTTTACGGCATTGATGTTGTAAAAGAAAATGTCCGAGAAAATAAAGCGTCTGCGTCAGGAAATACCACAAAAGGTAAAATAACTACTCTGTCTACATACACAGAAAACCAAACGTCAAAATACAGTAGAAAATGTTTTTGTTGTTCAGGTACATGTTCGAATTAATCTTTATGTGATAAATTGAGAAAATTGTCTTAAGAAGATAGGAACAGGTTTGTCATAAAATCTAAATTGTGTTTCAATTGCCTCAAACCCAATCATATGTCACGCAAATGTAGACGGGATAAATTATGCACTGTGCCTGATTGTACCACTAAACACCAAATGTTTTCGTTTACACAATTGGTCCCCAAAGCGTCCCGATAATTCAATAACCCAACCTTCTGTTAATTGTGTGGCAGTTAATGGCTCATTTGCTAAAACCTGTCAAGGGATCATACCTATAACTGTAAAGGGTGGGAACGGTTACTCTTGCCAAACTTATTCTCAGCTCGACGATGGAGCAGACAAAACGCTTTGTGATGAAAGTCTTATACAGCAGTTGCATCTGACCAGCCGGTCTGTCACCTTCCAGATATCGACCATTAGCTCGACCGGAAGTACAACTTGTGGACAGGAAGTTGATATCAGCGTTTGCCCAGTTTCTGGAAATTGTGAAATTCATCTTAACAATGTTTGGACGGTTAAATAGTTACCTATCTCTACCCGCTCTGCAGAAACAAGTGATGACATTATTGGCGTTCCATACTTGTCCGATTTACAAATTCCCAAAGTAAAGGCTAATGAAGTCCGGATTTTAATTGGTACAGATTTTCCCCGAAGCACATATTCCACTTGAAGTGCGTCCTGGAAGCAGTCATCAGCCATATGCTATAAGGACACGACTTGGTTGGGCAGTTCGTGGGTCAGTCCCTCGTCTTTTTGTAGAACAGAACAGAACCAAACATAACAGAGCAAATATAAACTTTGGTCATTCAAATGACATAATACTGCAACAACAGCTCGAGCGTATCGATTCCTTGGTGCGAAAGGGTTGTAACTCATAATTTCACCGAAAATGGTTTTATGGTGTTTTTCAATGAAGGAGCAATATACACACATGTTGTAAAAATATTGAACTTGAAAGCTAAAATTAAACTACCAAAAAAGTATATATGTCCAAAGGTTGTAACCCAAACAGACATATTTTGTTGGCGCGAAACGGTTGTAACTTAAGTTCGCACCAACATTTTGATAATATTTTGAATAAATCCTACTGCAAAACAGTTGTATCTCAATATCTTATATCATATTCTGTGAAATATTTAGTGGATTCGTTCTTTCAAACTAACTGACAAGTTTATAAAACAGTCTCAGCTTATGATTCCTTGTTATTTAGTATTTACATTATAAATTGGTAAGCTTTCATTTAGACATAATACAAGAATTTGAATAACTTATACATATTTCAAACATAAATCAATTCCAATGCTTGTTAAAGAAACAATATCATAGTACATTGCTTTATTTGACTAACAGTTCTGTTATAGTGACTTTTTTTCAACATGAAAATTGTCATTGGTATAATGTTGCATTGTTTGCAAAATAGCAAGTAAAAGTAATGGACTTATTTTGGTTTTACGAAAATGAAATTACCGTAACTCAAAATAAATTTATTATAGATAATTGTCATACAATATATTATGATTGTATCATAGTTTGGAGACTTTTGAAAACAAGTTAAAAACGAGTTAAATTGCATACCAATACATGCACATTGCTTTAACTCACTGTCAGTCTGGAGCATGCTTGTTAACTGGTTCATTTTTTTCTGGTTTTTACATATTGTGACGACAGGGAAGGAGATAACAGTAGAAAAGTCATATTCAGATGCTTATACATTTGGTACTTTTTGCTTGGATGACTGGGAATTTGTTGGTTTATTTTGCCTAAGATACAAAAGAGAAAGAACATCAAAACAATCGGCAATCTGATTTATACTCTCATACAAATCCGACAGCCTCGTGTTTCGATGCTTTTTTAATTACTAAATGTTAAAATAACTTATAAATAAATTAAATAAATAAATAAATAAATTATACAATTATTACTCAATTCTTTATTTGGTTTTAAACTTACATGAATTACTTTTATAACTTACATGTATTACTATTGGAATATTTTCATGTTTTGTCAAAGACAAATTGTATACATTAATATTGTACTACAATTTATTTACGTTACAAGACAATGTCTGACTAGATATGTGAACACATTTTTCTTTGACAACATATTGTAAACAGTAAGTTTAGATACATATACATATGTATAGACAAAAGTATTACAATATATTCTAACACAACCCACATTTTTCCCTATTGAACATAGAAAAACCGAAAGTGTGTGTTATTATGCAATAAAATCACTGTTTGACGTTCTATATGTAGACATGTGACGTAATCATTATACACCTGACGTAACCACTAAAGATGTGACGCGCTGACAATAAGTACGGAAACAAATCAGGCGCAATTTACCTAACTACCATGTACGGCAACATCTATTTGTTGATGTCGTGTTAAAATCGAAATAATATATCCAAATCGGTGATTTTATTGCTTGTCATTTAGATGCTGATCATTATATATTATTCCCCGCATCCGAATTCCAAACAGTGATGTTATTGAGCAATAAAATCACAGTTTGGGATATATTATTTCTTAAATAAAAGGTGTTTATGTGTAGATAATATATTCCAAACTGTGATTTTATTGCTCAATAAAATCACTGTTTGGAGGCCGGATGTGTGGAATTCCGAGGGAGTAGCCCGAGTGATATAATGATGCACATTCAATCAACAAACAGTGATTTTTTTTAAGTGATAAAATCACCAATTTGGATATATTATTTTGATTCTAACACGACATCAACAAATAAAATTTTAATGCTGTACCTTATATAGAGCTAAATTGCGCCTGATTTGTTTCCGTACTTATTTTCAGCGCATCACATTTTTAGTGGTTACTTTGCGTGTATAATGATTACGTCATTTGTCTTAATATAGATTGTCAAACAGTGATTTTATTGCATAATAACTCACACTTTCGATCTTCTATGCTCAATAGGGAAAAATGCGGGTCGTGTTCGAATATTAAGTAAAATATGTTATTGACCCTTTGTTTTCTGTCAGATAAAAGTAAAGTATCAGATATATATTCTATCTGCTATTTTAAAATCATTCTTAAAGATGTTAATCTCTTCCTCAGCTGTATGTGCGTTTGTGTGCACACCTGTGAATTGTATTGGGGTGGGGGGATTGCATTTTGTAATTGTTATTATTTGCAGGCCTTATTTTTTTCTCATTTTATTACTGACTGATTTATATCATACTTAACAATGAAATTTGGGACTGTAAAGAGTTGTAAGAATAGCATGAGCTTAGAAGCTTAGAACATCTATTATCATCTTTCTCATACTTTTGGCTTAATAGTGAAGAAGATCCTAGATAATGCTAATTTAAATAATAAAATTTGTACACAAAAGCACATCCTTGAAATTATCTAAGTTTTCAAATTAAGAAAAGCCTAGGTATAGAATAGATGTAAAATAAAATGAGAATGTTCTCATTTTCTAAAGGCTTATATTAACATCTTAGATGGTTTTGTCATTATGTAAGTTTACATTTTGAACTTTGATTCTTGCAAAAACAAACATATTTGGTACTTATGATGGGTTTGACAATCTGAACTGTGTGTCACATGGAAAAAATATTATATATAAAGTGAATTTCTTTAAAAAAAAATCATTTGACTGAAATTTTATTTTAAAAACATAAAATTTGAAGGTTTTTCACTGAAATATCCAGGCCATATGTTAAATTAGTTCATACTAAACACAACTAAGCTTGGATCTGTTCATTTGACCCATTACATTTATCAGAATTTAAAGCAAAAATTTAGTTACAACCCTTTTGCACCAAATCATTTTTTGAATTTTTTTATTTTTTTGGTGCGAAAGGGTTGTAACTGAAACTTTATCAATCATCTCTTTATGCTGACAAAATAAAATAACCTTTCCAATCAATTATATATCAGTAAATGAATGAAATCTAAAAACCAAAATTAAAGAAGTATTTATTAGAACGTAAAAGAATAAATAAGTTTTTTGTCTCTCCTGAATAATATTGAGTTACAACCCTTTCGCACCAAGGCATCGGTATGTGGATGTCTGACTTCAACGATGTTAAATTCTGCGATAAAGAGTCAATGTCCATCGAAGATAAAAGAGCGTTGGACGTTATGGAATCATCCCTTTCATATGTAGATGGTCACTATAAGATGGGATTACCTTTGCGGGCAGACGATATAAACTTACCAAATAATTTAGCATTAGCCTATACACGTTGGAATCAACTTAAACACAAATTGTCTCGTGATAAATATTTACATGAAATGTACACCAAAACGGAGAGTGAGTACATTAATAAAGTTTATGCAAAAGAGGTAGATAATAACGGTACAAACTCTAAGCGCATATGATACTTACCCCACCTACCTGTGATGGACGTTAACAAACCAGGAAAGGTTCGTGTGGTATTTGACTGTGCCGCAAAATACAACGATACTTCATTGAATAACCAGCTCCTTCAAGGTCCAGATTTAATGAACAGTTTAGTAGGGGTACTTTTAAGATTTCGTGAGAAAAAGAAAGCTCTGTCTGCTGATATAGAGGCTATGTTCCATCAAGTTCATGTGATTGAAGAAGACTGTCACGCACTCCGGTTCCTATGGTGGCCTGATGGGGACATGTCTGTACTTCCTAAAACTTACTGTATGCAGGTGCATCTGTTCGGTGCCACATCATCTACTAGCTGTGCAGCTTATGCATTAAGAAGAACAGCCAGTGACAACGCGAATAAATTTCCAGATGAAGTTATAGAAACTGTTAAAAGAAACTTCTATGTCGATGATTGCCTGAAATCTGTAGATTCAGAAGAGAAAGCGACAAAGTTAGCAGCGGATTTACAGTCACTGATGAAAATAGGAAGTTTTAGACTTACAAAGTGGATCAGCAACAGTAGGTTAGTCATTGATACAATTCCCGATTATGAACGTGCACCAATGGTTGTAAGCCTCAGTCCCGAAAGTGAACTTCCTTATGATCGTGTATTAGGCATTAATTGGAACGTAAATGACGATTTCATCACATTCAAAATCAAGAAAACAAATAAACCTGTAACTAGACGCGGAATGCTTTCCATAGTTAGTGCGATATTTGATCCACTAGGACTTTTAGCACCAGTGACATTACGAGCAAAGGCTATCGTTCAAAGCTTGTGTAGAAGGAAATTTGGTTGGGATGAAGCGATTCCGCAAATTGATCATGATGAATGGCAACGTTGGATAATAAACTTACCTTGTTTGGAAAACGTTCGAATAAGCAGTTGTTTTCAACCAAAATATTTCAGTACTTTAAAAAATAAACAGTTACACGTTTTCAGCGATGGTTCTAAGACGGGTTACGGCGCATGCGCATATTTACGCATTACTGACGAAAATGATAACACTGCATGTTGTCTAGTGCTTGGCAAGTCCCGACTCGCCCCGATAAAACAAGCTTCGATACCGATACTCGAACTGTGTGGAGCTGTTGTGTCATGCCGCCTGTATGCCATGCTGAAAGAAGAACTTGATTTGAAAATTGACAAAGTTGTTTTCTGGACAGATTCAATGATCATTCTTGGATACATAAATAACACTTTAAGACGTTTGAAGACTTTCGTCGGGAATAGAATTAGTTATATTCATAAAATGACGAGTCCAGAACAGTGGCGCTATATCGACTCCTGTTCGAACCCCGCTGACATAGCATCAAGAGGCATTGATCCTGGCGATAATACTAGCATTTCTTTGTGGCTTAATGGACCAGACTATATGGCACAGGACGAGTCTACTTGGTCTTAATTTGTAAACATAAACGATATCGCCGCCGACGACTCCGAAATTAAAAGAGACGTAGCAATAAACGCCACTGGGGTATACACTGGGCCGACTATATTATTCAGACTGGAACAGACTACTTAGAGTGTTTGTTTGGTTACAGAGGTTTGTGACATACTGCAGAAGTCAAAATAAAAATGAACCAAATTATGAAGACCTCAAATTAGCACAGATACAAAATGCTACTCATGAAATTGTTCGATATGTACAGAAAATCAATTTCCAACAAGAAATAAAAGACTTATTGAAAGGAAACCCGGTAAAAAAAGAATAGCAGATTAGCTATGCTTAACCCTGTGATGAAAAATGGACTCATCCGAATGTCTGGAAGACAAATTTACACTGACTATGAAAAAGCCCCTATAATTCTTCCCCACAATGATCACGTGACAGAGCTGAAAATTCACAATAGCCATAGCAGCAATGGACATGTAGAATGGCAACACGTTCTAGCAGAAATACGGTCAAAATTTTGGATTTAACGTGGTGCTTGTGCTGTTTAAAATACCATAGGAAAATGCGTTGCTTGTAAACGACAGAGAGGTCCATTACTCACTCAACAGATGGCGCCACTTATCCCAGAGCAGACGACACCTTGCAAACCACCGTTTTCATTTGTCGGAGTGGACTACTTTGGACCATTTATAGTAAAATTAGGTCGATCTAGCGTTAAAAAATATGGTTGTCTGTTTTCTTGCTTGACAACGAGAGCAGTGCATATAGAAGTAGCCCATAGCTTGACAACAAATTAATTCATAGCTGCCTACCAGCGTTTCACAGCGTTCTTGTGACAACGGTACCAACTTAGTTAGTGGAGACAAAGAACTTAAGAAATCCTTAGAAGAGTGGAACCAGTCTAAGATCGGCAGATATCTGTTACAGAATAAGGTAGACTGGCACTTTAATCCACCATACGCGAGCAATATGTCTGGGGCATTGGAGAGAATGATAAGATCTACACGCACCATTTTGAAAGCTCTTGTCAAGGAACAATTTTTAACAGACGAGGAATTACTCACTTTCATCGCAGAAACAGAAAGAATTCTAAATGATAGACCAATCACTTCCATGAGTAGCGACCCTAGAGATCTTCCAGCGCTCACACCAAATATGCTTCTTTTAATGAAATGTAATGCGAGTATTTCAAGAGGTGTTTTTGAAAAAGAAGATGTATACAGTAACAAATGGTGGAAACAGATACAATATTTGAGTGATGTATTCTGGAAAAGATGGATCAAAGAGTACCTACCTTCTCTTCAGAACCGACAAAAATGGCAGAGAGAAACAAGAAACATGAAAGTAAACGACATCGTACTTGTAGCAGACGATACCATTCCACGAGGGCAGTGGCCACTTGGCAGAGTAACTGAGGTTTTTAGGGGTAGGGATGGGCTTGTACGCAAATGCCTTGTCCGTATAAGAAATTCATATGTCCTCAGACCAATAACAAAATTATGTCTTTAAGAAGGAACAGAGTAAATAATAGTTGCGTTAACATTTTGTCAAAATACATTTACTGATGTACAAAAGCCTTCTTTAATTTAATTTTATTTATTTATATTTTTACGCGTGGATTAGACATTTTAACAACCCAAAAAAGAATTTGATATACTATAATATGTATTGTACTTCTTGCAAGAGCATGTTCTTACCATGACTAGATAGCGGTTGTAAATTATAATAATTGCAAAATTCTTTGATGATATTTATATTTGTGTCATGTTATACATTTTCAAAATAATTACGTATATATGTGCATTGGTGGTTTTTTAAATAATTATTTTTATTTTCATTTACAAAAAATATTAAGTATGTAGATTTATACATTTTTGATACATATACACAACGTTTTAGTATTATTTTTATTTCTTTTCTACTAGTTTTTCTACTACATATTTTCAAATCATATATATTTGATAAGTAAATTATTGATATTTTGAGAAAACAAAATTTGCTTAAGTGCTATTCTTATTTGATGAAATTAAGACATTTCATTGAGGGCACTGTAAGAATTATTAACATTCTTAAAATTTTAATTTGTTCACTTTTTGGCGCTAAAAGCTCTCGCGTCACGTTAACGTCGCCGCCTTTTTAGCGACGTCACGGAGTTTTCCGCAAGTTACATAAAAAGGTTACAAACAAGTTTATTTTTGAAGACATTAACGGTAGCGATATTTGATGTAAAATATTATTATTACAGTTTATATTCAGGATTGAAGAAATTAATTAAATTGACAGGACACCATTGTTGAGAATCGCTACGCTATGCATAGCTACAATTATATGAACTTTGTAGATGTGAAATAAACGAAATTACAAGATTGCAGCGCATTTCTTACTTGGTTTTCTGAATCCTGAACACCTTGTACCTTCAGACAGTAAGGTTTTTTTTAATTTTTAACTATATGTACATAATGAAAATCAATGACCCCCTAGGGCAGGGCAAATTTTGACACCGGACTTATATTTGAACAAACTTGGTAGACACTCATTAGGAGATGTTTCATGCTAAATATCATAGTCTTAGCTCTTTGGGTTCTTTTAAAGAAGATTTTTTTAGTTTTTACTATATGCATATAGGGAAAATCAATGACCCCCTGGGACAGGGCCAATTTTGACCCAAGGGCTTTATTTGAACAAACTTGGTAGACACTCAGTAGAAAATGTTTCATGCCAAATATCTAAGCTCTATCTCTTAGGGTTGTTTAAAAGAAGATACCTAAAGATTTTTCTTTCGGTTGCCATGGCAACCAGAGTTCTGCATGGAATTAAATTCTTTGAACAATTTTTAAAGGTGACCACCAAAGGAACATTGAAATTGCTTAAGTGGTTTATGAGGAGATGTCATTTAAAGCAAAAGTTTACGGACGGACAACGACCGGACGACGGCCGGACGCCGGACGAAAAGCGATCACAAAAGCTCACCCTGTCACTTTGTGACAGGTGAGCTAAAAATTGTAAACTAGTTACCATATAAATGCTTTACAAATATTCATTAATTAAACAAACATTATTTTTAACCAGTTTCGATGCCTCCATTTGATAACTTCTATAATTAGTTATTTCCGTGTGCATGCAGTAACTGCGTAACATACGGAAATTCCCTTCCCTTGTTTGTCGCTATATATGTTAATAATTTAAATAGTACCACCCTTATTTTATGCATGGAATGCACTCATGAATGATCAACCTTTACGATATCACACTTTACATGCTTGTTTTCTTGTGAAATGTGTGTTTTTCTTTCAAATTTTATTGATGTTTTCCAGCAGATTCTTTTGGTCGAGTGTCCGACTGATTTCAGGGAAATAAAAAAAATCTAATTTTTTAAAGCTTTTTTGGAGTCGAGGAATTATGATTTTCCGCGGGAAGGCTGGCAATCACAAACAGAGAGTGACCTAATATTCGAATCAAATTGTTAAAAGGCGTTGAAATACATTTGTTTATTTGGAAGATGGACAAACCCTACACATCAAATCCCCACACCTCAACATTTCACAGAGTGGACAAAACCCCACACCTTTAATTTTATAGAGTGCACAAAACCCTAAACCTTTCACTACTCATTTGTATAAACCATTGATTGAATTTAAAATAACTGACACTTAGAATAATCAATGTTAATTAAAGATTATTGAATGTTTGTTTACCTTTTGATATTTATTTAACAGTTTGTAATAATTATTTTTATTATTAATACACGTGCACGATACATACCTAATCGCTAACAATTGCCGCGTAATTGATTACCTTTTGTAAATATCATAATTATGAAATATTTGTATTGCTTTTGATGAAATATAGCAAGTATATGCAACAAACAATAATTGAAAAAGTACACTATCATTAATGAAAAATAATAAGTTAATGAATCATATATAATATAATAAAACTATTATGAAAATCCCCATTGCACCGTTATTAAAATATCTTTTACAATATCCTATTTTTAACATTTCTAAAATAATGGAAAATAAATCATTTTTAAATGACTATTACTCATTATTCTCAAATTCTTAAGTTATGCTTTTTTATCTACCCATAAGTATGTCCATTTCACCGTATATTTAGAATCTGATATATTCAGTATTCCACATAAAAAAGTCAAAATTGTACAGTATTATGTATAAAATATCGACAATGCCAACTTATATAATGATTACAATCTTGCACTCTGTTGCGTCAGTTGCAGCAAATAATCTCCGTTGCGTATTTTAGTGGTACCGTAAATAAAGGACATTGAATGAGTGTAAGTTAAATACTGAATTTATTACACGAGTTGAATAAATTATATTATGCGAGACTCTTTATTCACAAGTGCAATAATTCAGTAATGAACTAACACGAATTTAATATTCTATTTATCAAATACTCAAAATAAAGACCGTTTAAAGTGAAAAAAACAGAGTCATTATTCATTGATGCGCCTAAAGTATAACGCTAACAGCGCGTCTTTACACTATGTTTGTATAATGCTAATGACGTCACGTCAAAATATATGCACGGCCTTGCAATACCATATTTACAGTCGCAAAATCGGCAAGGGTGTGTAATACATTGTCGACTTTCATACAATTTTGAAAAGTGCCATACTGCTAGACAATACATTGGTTCTCAGCTAGCCGTACGTGACTTACGTACGGCTAGAACTGTTGGCTAGCGGTGCAGGCCTGAGCGGCTATAGATAATTAGAAAGTGTGGGGTTATGTTCACTCTCTAAAATTTAAAGGTGTTTTTCGACTATTTCAACTAATTGTACTGCGCAATAAGATATTGTGGTATTTTTGTGTCTGGGCAATATGTATTGTCGCCTCTACGTACAACATAAGAAATACCTTTTCTGTAGTGAAATTTGCGCCGGGATTTTGAGCGCAAGCTTTGAACCGTCTTAAATCATATAAGAATTCATTTTTGACTGTAATACATACATGTAATGATTTTTATAGAAAAGTAAACACATCCCT